TTCTGAGTTGGAAAGGGCCTACAGGAACCATCGAGTCCAGCTCTTAAAAGATTGGCCCCTCCAGGGGTCAAACCCACAACCTTGGTGTTATTAGCACCGTGCCCTAATCAAGTGAGCTGATCTCGGGGTTTTCCTGTCTAGCCTGCAAATTTGAGAAGGCATTTTCCTATTTTAGTAACCCATTCATATTTTAGACCTGAAAGAATTTGAAAATGTCATGATTTCATGTGCTGCTTTGTAGTGACTGTTGAGTTGCAGTCTGTTTTATTGTTCAGAATTTTAGGCAGTTGCACCTCCTGATCGGTCTGTGTTGGCTGATGAATTCTAATGTGAGCAGACATAAAGTTTATTTTCATGTTCTGCTAAATATTTCAGTAATTTTGAAAATGCTTCTGGCATGGCCAATACTGTCTGTGTGAAGTGGAGCTGCATCTCCTCAAAAGCGGAAATACTCTCCTAGTGTTAACTTCTGGTTTTAAAAGTTGTGTGTAAGAAGTCATCTTCACTGCAAGAGACAATTTCATGTCATGCTTTTTCCAGAGGGAGTGTGATCCACTGTGTAAGGCAGCTAAGCCCCAGTCATGCCTGGTCTGATGGCCCAGGTCTTGGGCAAAGACTCTGACTTTGTGATCTTGGCTAATCAGTCTTTCTGGGTTTCAGTTTGCACATGTGCAAAATGAAGATATTTCCCTATTTTGCCATCATGTATTTTATAGATACACGTTGAACCATCATATATTTACACATTATAAAGGTGCTATAAAATAATTTATATTGAGAATGTGGAACGGAACTGTCTCCTTGTCCAGCAGAGCTTGATTTCTGGAGAACTTGTCCTTCTGTGCAGAGAAAAGGCTGTGTATGTGTAGTAGCAAGCATGCAAATATTTTAGATGTGCCTCCTTTCAGGAACCCACTGATTATTGTATAGATTTTCTATTTTCTGCATGTTGTCTTCATTATGGCAGAGACTCCTGTTTGGAACGAGTCCCTGAGAAAGGTGTTCCCGAGAACTGCATGGGAATACTTCATAAAGTGTGCAGATAGGGTGGAGATACGGATACAAAACAAAAGAATATAATGGGGATTTTTCTTCTAGCAGATGTTTTCCTTACTGCATTTTGCTATAAGGATGAGAGGCTGGTGAATTCATTCTGAGCAGGAACATTCCAAGGCAGTAGGATTGGTTCGCTGTTGTTACTCTGGTTTTATGGTTTAGCTTCTTTTGAAATATGTTGGCATAAAGGAGGGGCACATCAAGCTTTCTCTTGGGAAGTGAGTGCAGTAATCATAAATCTGAAAGTCTGAAGTATGTAGCAGAGCTTCCATTAACCTGGAGACCCGGGTCTCCTCATTTTGGAGGGGCTATTCAGCCTGCAGTGGTTTCAGTGGCCGCAGTTCCCTGGAGTCCCCTTTCTGAGTGTTCCTTTTCTTGCGAAGTGTACTGCACGTTTCTGTGCCGGTATCAAAGCCAAATGGATTGAAAACTGTTCTCCAAGGAGCTCTAGGCCAGCCCTTCATACACTGGCAGTGTGTATAATTTAGCCATTCATATGCCAAATACAAACTATTGGTCAAGCGGGTATAAAGCCATAGAAGGTGACACACCTCAGCCCAGAAAGCCAAGCAAGGGGAAGTGAGTGATGTGGAAGTTTAATGTAGCTGTAAAAAAGAGGATTCTTCTGCTTCTATTCAGAAAAAAAAAAAAATCAACCTGAAAACTACTTTCCTCCAAAAGAAAAACCAATATAGGAAGGGAAGCAGAGCAGGAGGTGGGTCCAGTTCCTGGCTCTGCTCCAGCTGTGCCTCATTCTGCTCTGCTGGCTGTCAGCTGCTGTTGTGTGTAGCTGCTGACGCCCTGTTTGCTGAGGTTTGAAAAAGTTTCATCCGTGTAGTTCTAGTTTTATTTTGTTTAGCTGTTCTCCAGCTCTTTAGCAGCTTCCAGTCTTACTGGGATTTTAATTCTTTTTCAATGAAGAAACAGTATATGGTGAACCATGTTCCTTGAGACTTTTTGTTTATTTGTTTTCTTTAGTTTTGATTTGTTTTTGGTTTTTTTTTTGACTGATGTGCTTTTTGACCTTTGCATTTCCCAGAAGTACAGAGGGGCTTACAGGATTAGCAAAAAACTGTGTGTGTGATTGCTGGGGCTTTTTATTTGCTGATGTTTAAAGGTGTACAGTAATAAAGTAAGTTCACATTGTTTACAAATCAAATAGTGGCAACCAAAACATCTTTTGACATAGGAAGATAATCGAGGATTGATCTACATCGCATACCTTCTCTTGAATCCTAAGCCTGTTACTCCAGGGGCAGATCTTATGAGAAAACAAACCAGTCCTTCAGACATAGGTGGAATAAGGCACAAATCAAATTTTAATGAATCCCTTAATTTAAGGTAAATACCTGCTTCAGAAATGTAATCTGAATTGGAGTAGAACAGTAGAGGAGTATGGGGAATCCTGAGCTTTTGTGTCTTGTGAATGGCACTTTCTTAAGAGCCTCTGGAAAGAAGGCTGTTATAACCCTTTCCACATAGATTGAAAGACTGTTAAATAATCAAAAAAGACAAGATAAGCTACTTCAAGCCTGCCTTTGATTTGTCTTCCTTACTTGCTATTGTTGAACTGTCATATAACAATGTCAGTTAGGTTTTGATTTTTTTTTTTTTAATATGCAATTGCACACAGATATTGTAGAGTTTCTTCATCAACTTTAACTAGGTCAGGTGAATAAAAATCAAATATTCTTCAACAGGTAGTGTTGTTGAACCTGGTCAGCACTGGGGTTTTATCTGTTAGCAGAAACAGAGTTCTTTCATGAATATTGACTACTCCTTAGGAGATGAGAAATTTCCCATTTCATTATTAACCAAAATCATGAATAAAGGTGTGTTATGTATACAAAGCTAAATTCCTAATATGACAGTGCAGTTCAGTGCATGTGCTCTCAAGGAGCATATCAGTTCTTGGTTCCTCGTCCAGAATTTTGCAGCAGTTTTGCTTTTGAGTAGGTTTTGCATGAGGTATGGCAGAAGGGATACCTTAAACTTTAAAATATTGGTAGGGATGGTACATGCAAAATTCCTACAATAAACTTGAGCAATAAAATTATGAGTCTTAGAAGAAGTCTTCTGAGTCCTGTATTTGCATTCTTAAGCTGTAATTTTCATGCAACCATTTTGTCCTTAGGTTTAAGATTTTCCTTGTTTTTTTTTTTTTTTTTCCTCTTAAAATAGTAAGTTTGCCTTTAGTTTTATAGATTGCTTCCATTTGGTTTTGACATATGGTTTACTGCTTTTCTTGATAAGCAAAAGTGAGTGGAATATATGACTCTTTGTACTTTGACTCTTTGTACTTTGACTTAAAGAACTTGATCAATCTTTTTGGAAGTTCTTTAATACTGGGGTGTTATTCTAGGCCTCTGCAAATATATGAATTTTCCAATAACGTAGTGTGGTGAGTTTGACCCTGGCTGGACACCCAAAGTGCCCATCTAAGCTGCTCTATCACTCCCCTCCTCAACTGGACAGGGGAGAAAAAAATGTGATGAAAGACTCGTGGATTGAGATAAGGGCTGGGAGAGATCACTCACCAGTTACAGCCACAGGCAAAAGAGCCTTGACTGGGGTGTCTCATGTGTCCTCAATCCTCTCTCTGGTGCCGTAACTTTTCCTCCTTCTCAAATACATTCTCCAACCATTCCTGATGGGCTCAGCCTTGACCAGGGGCAGGTCCATCCTGGAGCCAGCTGACTTTGACTCTGTTGGAGCTGGGGAAAGCTTCTGGCAGCTTCTCCCAGAACAAAACCTTGTAATGCAAACCCAATACCCGTGGCAACTTGCAGTGTGAGAAATGAATGATTACACTTGGTGAACCTGTGCTGGAAAACCTTCAGAGTTGAATTGGGAAGATAACTGTGCAACGAGTTGGGTTGTGTTTTGTTTTGGTGTTTTAAAGGAGAAAAAGAAATAATTTCACCCCAGATAATTTCACCTCTTTTAAGCTGAAGGTCTTGCTGCGTTCATAATCTTTTCTGTTGGCTGTCACACTGGTGTGATTACACAGCAATACGCACTCCCTGCAAGCTGGGTAGTAATGGAAACAGATTTCGTCCTCTCAATAATCCTGATTAAGCATGCTGGTTTTGTTGTGGAGCAGTTAAGTTCATGGCTTCCTCCACTGTGACGTGGCAATATGAGAATCCAATGTCAGGAACTCTGGCCTTGAATTTTTCGTGTGCTGAAGCGATGATATCACTGTAGTGGTCTTGTGTTCCTGGAAGAGTTGTTATGGAAACTTCATCACAGCTTTTCAAAAAAAAAAAAAAAAAAAAACCCCAAACAAACCCTCGAGCAAAACCTTTTTTCAAACTCCCAAATACTTTGCTAATTTAAAAATTCCGTCTCACTGCGATTTTTCGCGAATTCATTTTAGGGATTTGGTATGCAGATTGCTGCAGTCACGTGCAAGCTTATGCAGTGCATAAAGGCTGCTTATGGAGCTCCTATTACATATTACAGGTCCCATCCTGTGCCAGACCTGTTGCTGGTGGCAGACGCCAGTGGTGGCACCACACGTGACACCCAGGCCGGAGTGAATTCTATAATGAGGGGAGAAAGGTCCATGTCCTTTCAGTATTCTAACCAGGCTGAAAGTCCCAAAGGGTTGTTGGATCTAGTTGGATCTTCTGTATGATTGTATGTTTTCTCCAGGGCAGATAGTTGAGTTTGACTAGGAGGGTCCTATTTTATTGTTTTCTCTCTGCTATGATGGGCTCTTCTTTTTTTTTTTTTTTTTTTTGCTTTTAAAGTTGTAATATACCTTCTTCACCACTATCAATGATAAATATTGTGTTTAATGAAATACTGGTGGTTGTTTTTTGGTGTGGTTTTTTTTGGTTCTACTTTCCATCTACTTTCAACTGATGCTGAAAGTTTTCAGAGGAAAGGGAAAATTCAGTGGCAAAATTCCAAATAATGGCAATGTGTTCCCTCTACAGGATTTATGAACGTGTCATTGATCCCCCAGAAACGAATCTGACACCTGAAAGCAGTTTATGGCTCGGACAGAGAAACAGGAAACACGGTTTCTTCAAGGTAAGCAGATGCGAAATGACACGTGAAGAAGAAAAGTAATAGTCAACAAGACTCTTCCAATTAGTGATCTTACACTCGTGAAATATGAACTGGAGAAACAGTGGACAGTTGGCAAACAGCTTGTTGACGAAGTAAAAGTTTCTGATATTTATTCCAGTTTTGGATTAGAAGCTGCAGTACGAGCGTTAATGTGTGAAAGGAGTCTACAGTGCAGCAAAAGGCCAATCTGCCTATCCTCAATCTGGGCATGGATTTGTTGCCAAGGTGATTTACCACCCACTCGGTTTCCCTTTGAAGCTGTCAGTTCCTAAGACAATTTTACAAGTTGCCTTTTTTTTTTTTTTTTTCCTGAGGACCTCTCCTCAGAGTCCCCAGATTTTAACAAGCTAGGACAATTATTTTATGCTAAAATTATTTCAGCGTAGCAACGCACCACTTTAATTGTGAGGCAGAGGTAAAAGCTAACTTTTAAGCTAAATGATGGTCCAGGAGTTGCTCTGAACCTGGAGTACATTTCATCCTCCAGCAGCTGAGCTGTCACTGGGAAGTGGAATTGATAGTATTATTTTATTCTACAGCTGTTGATTTTTTACCTCAGCTGCTTCCCACTATTCCACAGATGGTAAACATATGTTTATAGCTACGTGGGGAAAGGAAGAAGTTATATTGGAGTTGCCTATCTGAAATTCCTATTTTATGCAGACAGTCAGAGCCTCAGAACTCTGGGATATTATATGTTTGTAAATTAATATTTCTACGTGTTAACACTTTGGAAACAGCAGGGTAGCTAATGATATGCTAATGACCTGACAATTTTTATTGATCATAATGAAAGCCGACAAGTGCCTTACTTTGCTTTATGCATGCTTGAATATTTTACCAACTTTCTTCGGGGCAGAAATATAATTGGTTGTGGTGTTTTTTAATCCTGCTTGCGAGTTTCAAAAGTCTCTTACTTTTTTTTTTTTTTTTTTACTTGACTCGTTGCAAAAACTTGGGATTTTGCCAGTTCATAAAGAGCACACATCTCTTTCCATATATTTACATGCTCAGCAGGACCTCCCTTTCTTTTTCAGACCAATTTGTTTCGCTGTTTTAGCATATAAAAAAATAGATATATTTTCCTTAATGTGTAAACAGAGATCTGCAGGGAAATAAGAGCGTTAAAAAAGAATTAGCATTTTTGGATGTGTGCTGGAACCGTGAAACCGCGTGTGAGAAAAAGCACCGGATGCTGTTCTGAGCATCATCTTCGACATTCCGAAAGTTTTCTTTTTTTCTTTAAATGGCAGTTAATTTATTGTTGCTTCTCTCCATAAATGGGTAGCATTAAAGCACGTTTTGGCCATAATCTCACGCCTATATTAAATTGTAATTCTTCAGTATATCAGAAGAGGCAGGAGGGATACGATATTCCTAAGTCACCGTGACCAACTGCTGCAGTTTTTCCTATTTATGCTTTTGTTCCACATCCGTATTTCCAGTGATGATTCCACAAGTGGTCCTGCTGTGCCTGTGGCCTTGCTGGGGACTGAAGTGCTCCGTGGTGCAATCAAGGGAATTGAAGTCTCGCACCTTGCTGCGGGTGTCTCTTACTGGTTGTAACTTATCTGCTACGACCAAGCACTCGGAGTTTGGACAGGACAGTGTGGTTACAGCCCAGCAGTGGTGGGAGCAAATGTGGAGCAGATTTAAGATAGCATTGTCTGTTAGCTTTGAAGGCAACCCTGTGAATTACTTCCACTGAAAGCCACACGTTGACCCTTTGGGTTTGTTTTTGTGGCTCTGTCCCGGTCCTGGCCAGGGCAGGGTTAATTTCTGCAAGGACAGTGTCCTAAATACAGGATTTGTTTTAGGGCTAGAGAATAATCTGTTATAACCAGATTAGGAAACCCAGGTAGATGCAACGGAAAGGAAAAAGAGTGCTGCCACACATCCAGGGAACTCTCACTCTGGGATGGATCTGTTTGCTGTCAGGATCAGAATTATCTGCAAAATTTCGTTTTATTGCTGGGGAGAACCCTTCTCCCTAGGGGTCCCTCCACAGAGCTGCTGCAGAAATGAGCTTATTAATGCATTGCTGACAAGGTGATTCACGTAGAAAGACAGTAATTTTCGTAACTGCTAGAGCAGGCTCTATTGATCCTGCATATTGTGTCTGGGGATTGTATAGTAGGTGCTTGAGAAGCATATTGGTATTTTTACTGCACCCTATCATAGATATATCTCATATATATATGTAAAAAATCTCATATGGCTCTATAATAATAATTTTGGACTCAGAGGTGTCTGGACTAAGGTGCAGACTAAATACCGTGCCGAGGGCAGCTGCACAGTGCTGATTGAGTGGCAGTCTGGTGGTGGTTGGCATGGCTGTGCTTGGGCACAGGACTTTCAGGCATTTCTGCCGGCGTTGTGTGCAGAGCCTCTCCCCAGCCCTGGCCGATGCAACTGGCACAGCTGCGTGGCTCCCGTTATCTCTGTGGGAGAAGGGAGGTTTTAAAGAGGGTGGAAGGCAGTGGGGGGAAATGAAAATGCAGAAGTGGAGAGCTCGTGGAATGTGAGAGGAGGGTTCTGTTTAGTAGAGGCAGGAGAAAGGCAATAATCTGGGCTGTTGTGTTACATTCTCGTGGGATGAGCTCGATACTTAGTGCTGCAGACCTGAATTTCATCCTGGAGCTGGTAATCTGCCTGCACAGATGAAGGCTCTTCGTGCTAGCGAGTCCTGATGCTGAACTGAAGCTTTGATTGCCATTAACCAGATGTTTTTAACGATAATGTAAAGGTGATGCCTGCTTGGGAGGGAAAAACTAGAAAGGTTTTGGCTGCTGACATCTCCCTGTCAAGGCCAAATCCAAGCTCTCAGTAACCCAGACTTAATGCTCAAGCAGGAATAATCTGAGTTTGTTCGTGTTTGTTACAATAATTATGGCTGTAATAAGTGTTTGCCTATAATGAAGTCTTTCTATTAAAAAAATTCATCAGCAAAATTTCTGCCATTTGAAAGTTCTCTTCTACACTTGACCATATTAATTCTGTTTCCTATGGTTATAGACTTTTAAAAGGCATCTATGTTAGGGAACTGAAGTTCATATTCATATGTTTTTCTATGGTAATATGCTTTTATGTGGCCAGAAATTGAGACACATAAAGTGGTTGTGTTTCCTCTTCAGGCTGTATTTAAATGCAAATCTATCCAAAAGACAATTGAGCAGTGTGACTCTCATGCAACAGGCATATTTGAAGCTGAAGATGCACTTTAAAAAAAAAGGGGGGCTGAAGAAAATACCTTATCACTTCTCTCTGGATGGTGCCTTGTTAGCTGGGTGGTATGGTCTGGTGAAACTTTGTAATCTCATTTTCTCTTGGTTGAGCTTTTTCACCGGAGAGGCTTAAGAGCTGAAATATATTTTATGCCTCACCTTCTAATTTCTCACTGATGACTGCTGACAGAAAGTATGGAAAATGGCTTTCAGGATGTTCCATTTCCAGTGACAGTATTACTTCTCATCGCTTGTGGTTTCATTATTCTCATAGATGAAAAGGTTAATAAATGTATATACTTATGAAAGGAAGACAGTGTGATCTGATTAGCTCTGCTAATATTTTTGGTTAATATTTGATCATGAAACAGTAAGCAGGAAGCAGAGCTTGCTGATTACCTTTTGCTCTTTTAACAGATGACCATATAAATGTTAAATCATACGCTACTTGCTGTACTTACCAGGCTTCAAGGGCTGTCTGAGGCCTTTAGTTTATTTGTGGGTGGACTTCAAGGGTCTGTGAGCAAGTGACTACGTCCTTGGTCTGCAAAACTCACTCTCTGGCAATTTAACTGAAAATTAAAACGTAGTCTTGCAAATCTGTAATCTATTTGGATCGTAACTGCTGCCGTGATAAATTCATTTGCAGTTTAAAGAAATTTTTCTGTGTCTGAGAGGAGGTAGAGCTGTGTCACAACATCTGATTAACAGGCAAGGGCTAGTGCAGCTATCAGCAACCAGAGGTCCCTTGTTTTCCCTTTGTCCTCTCCCTTAGTGACCATGATGTTATTAAAACTAGTGGATCTTGCGAAGTAAGTAAGTTAAAGATGTGGGAAAAGCTTTGTCCTGATCTTAAGAGAGCAAACACAACCTTCAGCGCTTTCTGGCTTTTTTGGAGCATCCAGGGTTCTTCAGGGCCCAGGAGTGCAGGGACACTGGGCAATCTGCCACTTCCATCAGGGTATCTGTGCAGGTCGGGGACAACAGAGGGATGTATCCAGCACTGGGCCTTTTGGTCCTGCCTCTCTCCTGTCCTGCCCAGTTTGGTTTAAGAGCCTCCCACAAACTGCAGACTGGTTCTGACCCTCTGCCACTGCTGTGCAGGGCATCTTTCTCTCTATCAGGGCTAGGGAGAGGATTTAGTTCTGAGTGATGGCACGATTACATGAACTGCCTGTTGAAATACAGAGCTGGTGGGCTAAATGAAACCAAACAATGGGAGTGTGAACTATTACTTACATCTGGCACTATACTCTTGTCTTTTCACAGTGTTTGATTTCACAGTCTTATTTGGTTAAATCACTAAAGAGTTCCACTGGGGGATTTCTTATTTTTTGGCTTTTCGAAAAGTGTGTCATGGGCTTGAGCACTGGTTATTATTTCACTGCTTTTTTTTTCCCCCGGTCTCACCCCATTTTAAGGCACTTAAGCAGCTTATGTTTGACGATTACAAAAGACAAAGCCGTATTATTTCTGCATTCTATGAAAATTAAAATCCCAACACGCTGATGGGAGGGGTTTTTACACTTTGTCCATCTTCAGTTGTTTTCCTCACGAGAAGAGAGCGAGCCTGTAATTTTTTTTGTGTAGCCACTGAAGAAGTGAATTTTGAAACAGCTTCTACGGATTTAAATCAGTGTTTGTAGTCTGTATTACCAGTTTTCTCTTCTTTTACAAAGGGTGTTATTCAAGATGTGAAAGTCATCTTTATACCTAATGGATATATAACGC